AAAAAAAAAAAAAAAAAGTAGATTTTGAAGGGACGTCGCATTGAAAAATTCCATGTCTGGGAGTCTGGCTGATGTGTTTTATTAAGCTTATGAAGCTAATTGGCACTGAACAGTTAGGCCTACTGTTCTTTTTGGATTTTACAACATTGTCATTTTTAGTTTGGTTGTTTGATTTTGTGTTTTCTGTTTCAGCTAAGTGACGATCCAGTGCCGAACGTGAGATTCAATGTAGCAAAAACTCTTCTCCGTATCGGACGCGTTATTGACCAAGGGTATGTTGCTGGAGAGCCTTCTTATTTTAATTATTTGTTGTAATAATGGGCTTTTCCAGAAGAGAAGCTAGGGATCTGAATACATGTTGTGGAGTATTCTTGTTTTATTGGAAAAAAAGGGGTCAGGTCATGCTACACCTTTTTTGAAAGCCCCAAAAACTGCCTGAATTTTCATCACTTGTGAGATGCGGGTTTGTCAGAAAGCCATTGTCCTTTAAAATTGATGGTTCTTTCTACCTGGAAAGCAACAATTTTGTTAAAAAATTAGTTAATCCGAAAAATAAAACAGAAAAAAAAAAGATATTTATGTAGTTTGTGTGAAGTGCAACAAATATCGTACCAAATAGTATTTTTTGCAGGGTGGTAAACAGTCAGATCAAGCCGTTACTGGTGAAGATGTGTAACGATAGCGAATTCGATGTCCGATATTTCGCGGATGAGACGAGAATGGGTTTGTTTGCTTTTTTTTTGTTGTTCTGTAAAATACAGCGTTAGAATAGCTTATTGCGTGGATTTGAAAATCAATGAATGAGCGAAATTCGGCGAATAGGATACCTTCTCTCGCAAATCCAAATTCCCACGCTCTCGGGTATTACTTACGGCTCCGTGAAATCTTTGGCAGGTAAATTATTATTTCGGAACCACAAAAGCCAGAAAGCTGAAATTTCACGGTAATTTCCCTCTCCCACATGCAATCCCGCAAATTTAAGCTCAGCTTTTATGGTAGCTTTCAGGCTTCTTAGTCTGTCAGCGAACGGTACTTCAGAGACAGAAAATTTCCGCTTAGATGGTCCTGATCATTCGCTAAGGCAATAACATGAAATGTAGTAACTAGAAGTAGCGTTGTTGAGAGTAGTGTAATTTGAAAAAGCCGAATTCGGCGTGTATCTGCATTTTAATAGATGAAAAAATATCAATTTGATTGCTGCGGACACCAAAGCTGGTAAAAAA